GGCAGTGCTCTTAACACTGGTTCTCAGCGCTGGCTACACACTGGAATCAGCCGGAGCGCTTTGAAAATGCTGATTCTGGGGTGCGGCCTGGGCATCGCGTTGGGCTTTGTAGAGCTCCCTGGGAGATCCCCGCCAGGTTGGCAGGACAGGTCCAGAGGACAGAGGGGCATGCTCGGGGAGACGCACTCCAAGGAGAGAGGCGCTCGGCGCGGCTCAGAACCGTGCCCACTGCGAGGATGGAGGGACCACGTGCGTCTGGGTGACAGCTCGCCCAGCCCCCGCCCCCACCCCCGGGATAATTTAATTGTCAAAGGCCAGATCCCAGCCCACCTGCAGGCTTGGAACTTCCAGAAAGCTGCAGCTCCACAAGGACTCAGCAAGGAGACAGCTGTCTCGGGGAAGGATCCCTTCTAGGAGCCTCTCTGACTCCAACTGGCACGTGGGCCGGAGGCTCGGCTGCATCCCCCCATCTGCCCAGGGCCCTGCCTCCTCTCACGGCTCAGCACGGGCCCAGCTTTCCGACCTTTTATTCCTTTATCAGCAGAGGGATCATTTCTTTTTTTTTTTTAGATTTTTTAAAATTTTTTCCTTTTTCTGCCCAAAGCCCCCCGGTACATAGTTGTATATTCTTAGTTGTGGGTCCTTCTAGTTGTGGCATGTGGGACGCTGCCTCAGCGTGGTTTGATGAGCAGTGCCATGTCCGCGCCCAGGATTCGAACCAACGAAACACTGGGCCGCCTGCAGCGGAGCGCGCGAACTTAACCACTCGGCCACGGGGCCAGCCCCAGAGGGATCATTTCTTAAAACAAAATCTTGGGAATTTTATTTGTCCAGACTTTGACTGCAGCCCGTTCATTTGGACATTCCAGTACAATGTCTCCGAGACCACATCCTCCCAGCAAGAGCTCTTCTCGCGTCCACACATGCCAGTCCTGCTTGCTCATCACCTTCCCCGAGGCTGGCGCATCCAAGCCCCTAAAAGATGCTGGTTCCAGTAGTGGTTCTGCCGCTTCGGAACTGAGTGGCCTTGGGCTGGTTGGTTAACTTCTCCGTGCCTTGGTTTTCTCACCTGTAAAATGGGTACCTACCTCGTACTCATCCAAAGGCCAGGATTAAATGAGACAATGGTGTAACACTCTTGGCCAGTGCCCGGCACGCAGGAGGCACTCAATAATGACAGTTGTTATTACCTTGAGTGTGCTGAGAGAGGGACAGCCAGCGGCCGGGAGTCCCACAGTCTCTACTGCAGGTCTCTGGGGTTCACACACCGTGTGGCCCACAGCTTTGACCCAAGTCATTGTCCTGCTGCCAGAGACTGATCCCGGCTGCCCGTCCGATGGGCCAGAGGCTGCCACACCCCCCAGTGCACTCCCGCCTCCCCTCCACCCAGGCCAACGCCCACACTGGCTTTAGCAATTAAGACAACGAACCTGGGTCCCGCCGAGAAAGCTGCTGGGTGCCACCACCCCTCACTCTCACCCCTAAAGCTCCCCCGGCCCCACCCTGGTCCAGGCCCCCAGTGGTACTCATTTCCTCACTGCCACCTGCCTCCAGGCTCAGCCCTTCAAGCAGATTCTCCACCAGCTGAAGCCACGCAGAGGACTGTAAAACACTGTGTCGTCTGGTTACGGCCCTGCCTGGCTCCCCAGTCCCTCCATCTCAGCCGGCCTCCGGAGGCCTTGAGTGGCCTGGCTGCACCCAGCCTCTCCATCACCCCTGGCCCCCCTATATGCTCCACCCACCCTGCACCCCGCAGAGCTGCCCGCAGGTGCCAGGTTCTTTCTTGCCACCGAGCCTTTGCACATGCTGTTCACTGTTTCTGCCGGAATACCCTTTTCCCACCTCCTCTGCTGACCGACTCCTGTTCACCCTTCAGCTGAGGTGTCTGGGCCTGGAATCTTTTCTCTGTGGGGGTGGATGTAGGGTTTAGCAGGATCCCTCTGGGCCCTGTGAGAAGAAGAGGCTGAAAGGGCAAGGAAGGAATGAGGGGGCAGCGGGGTCTGTGGTGGCTGGCCAGACGGCAGTGGATGTGGCAGGAGGGGACAGGCATCTGGCATGCTCTGCAAGTGGAGCCGAGAGAAACTAGAGAAAGAGAGAGGAGAGGACAGTGAAGAGAAGAGGGGAGGGGAGAGAATGGCCAACCTCTGACACTCACCTCTCTGTTCTGTCCTGCGTCCGCGACAGACACCACTAATGGACATCTTTCTTCTGTGGATCCAGACTGACCTCAGAATCCTCCTCGACCCAACCCTACAAGCCACCATTTCTGCTAATCAAGACTGGACACTGATGAGGCTGGAAAGCAGTCCAGGTTCTCCCAGGGATGGAAGCCGTTATCTCTGGGCATCTACCACGGGCCTGGCACTAGCTAGTTGCTTTCCTTTTTACTCATTAATTAATTTCCAGCATTATTGAGATTTGATTGATGGAGCCTAGGTGTTTTTCAAATTCTCTGATTTCAACACTCACAACACACCATGGGGTTGGCATCAGCACCCCCACTTCACACATGAGGAAACTGAGACCCTGAGAGGTCCAGAGACTTGCCCAGAATCTCCCAGTTAGAAAGCTTAGCACCAGGACTCAGATACAGCGGTGACTTATTTCAGTGCCACCCTCAGCTCCCCACTGTAGACCCCTCCTGCCCTGCTCAGGCCTCACCCACCAAATCTGGGCCCCCAGGCCCTAACAGGGCTGCATTCAATAGGCTGGTAGAGACAGGTGAGGGCAGAGCACACCTGGGGGCTGAGATCCCTGGCTGCCGGTTGCTGGCCGTCACCAGGCAGGGTGGCGTGGAGGGGTGCGGGCACCAACATCAGGAATCAGGAAGTGGCTGGGGGCTGGGGGCTGGGGGCTGGGGGCTGGGGGCTGGGGGCTGGGCCCACCCACCCAGGCGCTACCAGCCAAGTCCGGCCACGGTCATCAGTCTCTTCTCCCCTCCGACACACTGAGAAGTTCAGAGCCAACGGTTCTTAAGGAAAAGGTACAGCTGAGGATGTGGTGCTGTCAATGCCTGGAGACGACACCCCTCTCCAGGAGATGGGGCTGGCTGTTGTCACCGGGGCCACACTCTCCTCCGTTGGGGCATCTTCCATGTAATTAGAGAGTTGATGTGTCCATCTGTCCGGATGTCCTTAGGGGTCTCTGAGAGCCTGCTGTGACTTAGGAGGACAAAGAGGTTCATGATTCCACGGGGGCTCCAGGGCCAGACAGCCTGAGCTCATTTACCTGCTGTGGGGCCTCGGGCCAGTTACTTTACCTCTCGGGATCTCTTTCCAGGTAAAAAGAGAATGGTAATAGTGTCCACCTCATAAGGTTTTTGTGAACATTGCGGGTGGCAGCACGTGTGAAACATCTAGAACAGTATGTATGCACGAAGGTTTGCTATTATTATTATTATTGTCATTATTGTTACCACTGACCCCTGAGTCTTCCAGGTCCACATCGACCAGAGGAGGTGCCCAGTAAATCTGAGGAGAAGCACGGTGACAGCCAGCCTCCTCGAGGTGGTACTGGGGGCTGGGGCATGGGGACTAGAAGCGAAGGAGGGAACTGGGTATGAGCCCTTGCCAGCCACCACCTTGCTGTGTGACCTTGGGCAAGTCCAGTGCCATCTCTGGGCCTCCATCTCCCCCTTGTTCATGTGTAGACATGCACAAAGGCTGTCCCGGCTCTGTAGCTCAGTGACTAGACTGTTTGGGGCACCTGCCATGGGCCCAGCCAGGTGCTTGGAGAGGCCTTGACATCAGACGTGGAGGCTGCTTGGGACGGACCCCTGGGCCTCCCAGTCCCTTGGAGGGGGGCTTGCCTTCCAACAAGGGAGGATTGGGCCTTGCTGGTTGTTCGGTGTCCCCTGTGCACGCCCCTCCTACCCCCGAGCAGGCTATGAATCCTGGGCGAGCCGTGCTCTCTCTCGGTGCTCTGTGAAGCTCTTGGTACCAGGCCAGCTCCTCCTCTTTCTCCTCCACTCAGGTCGGGCTCCACCTCCTCCAGGAAGCCTTCCTTGACCCAGGCTGAGTCAGCTGCCTTTCTGGGCCTCCTCAGGGTCCCCTCTGGGGAGACGGTCAGGTTTGGGGTCTGTCTCCCTACCAGAGAGCTCTCTTGGAGGGCAGGGGCCATGTCACCGTAGGGTGCCGGCCACAGTGGACATGGAGAGCCTTGAAGGATGAGTGGATACGCGGATGAAGGGATGAATGGAGGCCGCCTGAGGCTCCGGCCTTGGAAGGAAGGGTCTTCGACACTGATCGCCTGAAGGGAGCAGATGGTGCTGAGAACAGGCAGAGAGCGTGGGGCCACACAGATGAGGGTCTGAATCCTGGCCCTGCCTGTCCTGATGGTGCAGACCCTCCTGCTGGGAAAAGTGGCCAGTTCTCGCCGCTCTTAGGGACCCACATGGAAGATGGGTTCCCGAGGCACCAGAGATGGTGTGTCTGTGCTGCTCAAGGGTCCAGCTTGGCAGGCTTCTGTGGGTCCCTTCTCCTGGCCTGGGGCTCCCCCAGCACCCACCTACCTCACTGGCTGCCTGGCACCAGGCCGGCCGGGCCTCGCACACCCAGGGCAGGTGCCGGGCTGTGCTGGCTGCCCCCACACTGAGCGAGGGGTGGTCAGCCTGCAGATGCTGCGGAATGGCCGGTCCTGATGGAGCGCCCGCCTGCGGGAGTCGGAGCGCACACCTGGGCAGGCTGGGCGGCCCCTGCTCAGCCCCCTGGGCCAGGCAGCCTGCAGGCGACCAGCTCCTCTGAGCCTCCGTTGTGCCGTCTGCCGAGTGGGGACGCTCGGTGCCGTCTCAAAGATGTAAAGAGCTACGGACACACAGCCTGTCACGGCCCTGAAAACAGGAGACCCCCTGGGAGGGAGCCCGTCCCTTGCTAAGGTCTCCGGTCCTGCTGAGCCGAGAGGGCTCTGGGCCAGGCGAGGGGTCCTGGCGCCTCTCTGCCACTTGCTGTTCTGTCTGTTTGGCAAACTGAACTCTCCCAGGTCACAGCACCTAGAGAAAATCATAAAACCAGGTTCTGTCTTTATTATACTTGTTTTTCTGGTGCCCTCTGTTGAAGGCAGCCATTTTTCAGAAGTGATGTGGCTTTTCCTTTGAAACATGCTGACCTCAGCAACAGGGTCGGGCAGCAGAGGGGTTAAGCCCGGGGCCTCTGGCCAGGTGGTCCAGGTTCAGACCCCAGCTCCGTCTCTCCATTGCCATGTCTTCTCAGGCAGTGCTCCGTGCCTCAGTTTCTCCACCTGTGCCGTGTGAGGGTAGTGCTGGGTCCGTCTGGCCCAAGGGTGTTACAAGGGTTGATGCGTGCAACGTGCTTAGAGCTGGGGCCACAGCACACCTGGCTTGAGGTTTCCTTCTGCCCTGAAGACATCTGAAAAACAGTAGACGTGGAGATAGTGCATTCCATGAACCTGGGCCATGCAGACACCAGGCCCCGGCCTGCTGCTACTTGCCCGCCTCTGGGAAGCCCCGGGGCATCGCTGATCTCCAGGCTGGTAAACAGGTGATCAGGTTCCCAGTCTTCGTCTGTCACCTGGAGCGGCTCTTAGCACTCTCCTCCCACCAGCACCTCCCCACCCACCTGACTCCAAAAGCCCAGGTCCCCGCCCTGAGCCGCGCCTCAGTTTCCTCATCTGTGAAATGGGCAACGATCCCGCCCTCTCACCCATGAAACGGGCATGGCACCATCCTCACCTCCTGAGCTGTGAGGAGGAGCGGAGCTGCCGTCCTCACATGGGTTATGACTGTGCTGTTGTCGCGTGTGGCGCTGAGGGTCACTGGCCGGCTCATACACTTGACTGCAGGCCCGGAAGCTCCCCGTGCTGTCCACCCGCCTCTGCCCTCTCCCCCTCTCAGCCTTGGCCTCCCTGGAAGCCTCACCCAGAAGCCCTTCCCCCTCCTTGCTGCCCACCCATTTTCCCCAGCCCTCTGAACATCCCACAGTATGGGAACCGAGGGTATCACCCGCCGCCTGGAGGGGTGTCTGGGGAAGGAAGGAGCGCAGAGGCAGCCAGACCCGTGCGGGTACCGCCCGTGCGGCCTCGGAGGGTCGCTCCCCTCTCCGTGCCTCAGTTTCTGCGTCTGCAGCATGGGACCAGTAGCAGTGGCTTCCTCGTGAGGTCCTCAGAGTGACTTCACTGGCCCGTGGCTGTGTTCACTGACGCTGTCATCGGTAGGGGCCGAGTGGGGAGGAAGCCTGCCCTCTCTAGAGTGGTTTCTGGCCCGTCCTTGGTCTTAGCATGTATGGAAAAATTCACCTCACCCCGCATGGTCCACACACAGCTGCCTTGGCAGGGTGGCCCGGCCGCCCCCGTTCATTCCTCTCCCCTGAGGCCAGCGCCCGGCTTCCAGACCCCCTGTCTGGCGGCGCCTCCCTGCCCCGCCCCTCCCGGCTGCTCTCCCACGGCCCGCCGGTGCCCTGGCCGGCCCGAGATGTGCCATCCCCAGAGATGCCTCGTGCTTTCCCTGCTGGGCCTCCAGCCCAGAGGCCTCTGGGGCCGCCCGGCCGTCACCTGCTGAGATCATACTTGCACTCCCAGGCCGCAGGGGGCCTGCCTCCCTGGACAGAGCTGGGGCCCGGGTCAGCCAGGCCTGCGCTTGAATCACGGCCTCACCGCTTATTTGCTGCCTGATCGTGACTAAGTCTCCCTTCCTCTCGAAGCCTCAGTTTCCCTATCTGGAAACAGGAACCTGTTGGAGATGAAGGATGAAGGACGACACCACTTGCCAAGCGGTTCTGGTGCTCCAGGCCCCCACCACGCAGTTCACCAGCATGATCTCGTTTTCTCTTCCCAATTGCACTGCGACGTGGGCGACGACAAACATTTATGAGCAACGACTCTGTGCCAAGCACTTCATACACATTCTCATTTCCTCCTCTAAACAACGTCATAGGAGAGGGGCTGATATGATCCCCATTTTACATATGGGGACACTAAGGCAGGGACGGCGAAGTGAGCAGCCGGACGTCACACTCTAACGAATGACAGAACCGAGTGGTCTGGCTCCAGAACATGTGCACCCAGCTGCTTGGTCATGTGCCCTCTAAATACACCCATTTCAGACGAGGAAACTGAGACTCAGGGAGGAAAAGCGACTTGCCAAGTCCACACGGAGCTAAGACACAGCAGGACTGTGTCTAAGTTTGGATCGTTCCAAAACCCCTACTCACTGCCCCATCCTGTGCCCAGCACGAGGCCAGGTGCCCAGGAGAGCCTCTGCAGGAGAGACTGACTCAGGGGGCACCACTCGCCCTGGGAGTCTGCAGGATCCTCTTGGGGCCCCTGAGCCTTTCTGCCAGAGGTAGAGGTGAGCTGTGGAAAGGGTAACTCTCCCACCTGCCTGGGAGCTCCTTGATGATGGGGCCTTGGCCTCACCCATCCCTCCACACACCCGCCCACGGATCCATCCACACACCCCAACCTTCCGTCTACCACCCCTCCATCCACCTATCTATCCATCCATCTGTCCATCCACACATCCACCCATCCATGCGTCCATCCTTCTTCCCATCCTTCCACCATTCAGTCATTCATCCACCCATCCATCACTCTGCCTTCCAGCCGCCCGCCCACCTCTCCATCCCTCCAATCATCCGCTCTCCCTCCTTCCTTCCTTTCTTCCTTTGACCATGCATGTGTCTGTCCATCCATTCTTCACCCAGCCAGCCAGGACCTCTTCTGTGCTGGGCTGAGGACTTGGGTGAATTATCTCCGGTTCCTAATATCTAGGACTTACTCCCTAATAAGGGAGACTGACTTATAATTCAGCGGAATATGATGTGAAAAATGCTATTTCACTGAGGCAGCATGAAGGGCTGTGATAGACCAGAGAAAGGAGAGAACTCAGCCTATGCATCAAGGAAGACTTCCTGGAGGGTGTGCCCTTTGAAGGGCACCTGTGGGAATCGGGGCTCTCCAGAGAAACAGACCAATAGATACATAGAGAGAGAGAGAAAGAGATTTATTTTAAGGAACTGGCTCACGCAATTATGGAAACTGTCAAGTCCTAAGTCTACAGAGTGGGCCAGCGGGTGGAGACCCAGGAGAGCCGATGCCACAGTTCAAATCTGAAGACCGTCTTCTGCAGAATTCCCCCTTGCTCAGGGTAAGTCAGTCTTTTTGTTCTGTTCAGGCCTTCACCTGATTGGATGAGGCCCACCCACATCGTAGAAGACAACCTGTTTTACTCAAAGTCCACAGATTTATTCTTATTTATTTATTTTAAGATTGGCCCTGAGCTAACATCCGTTGCCAATCTTCTTTTTTCTTCTTCTTCTTCTCCCCAAAGCCCTCCAGTACATAGTTGTATATTCTAGGTATAGATCCTTCTGGTTCTGCTATGTGGGACGCCACCCCAGCGTGGCCTGATGAGTGGTGCCATGTCTGTGCCCAGGATCCGAACCAGCCAAACCCTGGGCCTCCGAAGCTGAGTGTGCAAACTCAACCACTCGGCCAGGGGGCGGCCCCTAAAGTTCACAGATTTAAATGTTAATCTCATCCAAAACACTCTTACAGAAATATCTAGAATGTGTGACCATATAGTTGGGCACTGTGGTACAGCCAAGTTGACACACAACATTAACCATCACAGCACCTGACATGGGGAGGAGGAACAGAGGCTCAGAGCTTTCTAGGCCGTGGAAACAATCCTTGCGTCGGTCCAGAGGTGGGACGAGCCTTCGGGACAGGGGGAAGTCCACTAAGGATAGAGAATGTGGGTGGGAAGTGGGGAAAGAGCAGGTGGCCCTGTCCACACACAGCAGGGAGCATTTGCTGAGTTCTAACTTCTCAGGCAGATTTGGGGAAAACGGGGTGGTTCATAGCTGACATTGCCCTTCCTTTCCCCTTCCCCCACCCTGGCCCGGGCCGGATGTGGTGGGCAGAAAAGAGGGCCTGGCAGGCCGTGGCTGCTTCAGCTGCTGCCTCCAGCCGCCCCTGGCTTAGGGGCCTGTGCCTGCTGTGGGGGAGGGGCGGGCCTGGCTGGGTTCCCTTGTGCTCCCCACCCCGACTCTGACTTATCTCCCCCCGCCCCGCCCAGCCCCGCGTCTCCACCTGTTTGCCTCCTCTGTTCTCTCCACTTTTGTCCCCGGCTGTCTGCCTCTCTCTCTCTCTTTTTTCTCTGCTTTGTTCTCTGTCTCTAACTACGTGGTGTCTGTTCTCCGTGTGGGTCTCTGTCGCTCCCTCTTCCATCTCTGAGATAACGAGGCACACGGCAATGGCGCTTTGTCAGCCAGACACTTGAGCATCCTAAACACAGAGAAAATCCAGCTGGAAGCACCTCAGAGACCATCTTGTCCAACAGCCGGGCTGATGGAGGCCTCCGAGTCTTGCCAGAGATCGCTCAGCAGGTGAGAGGGGGTCAGAAACGCCTCCCACGCGTGCCGGCTCAGCAGGGGCAGGCCCCCCACGGAGCTCCAGCCCCCTCCCACAGCCGCTCAGCCCTCCAAACAGCAGCTGAACCTTGAAACAGCAGTTCAGCCCGAGGCCTGCAGGAGGCGCCACTGCCCGAGGGCCAAGGGCTCTCCTGGGAAGTCTCAGGGGCAGCCAGGAGGAGGTGGCCGGGGAGGCGGATGCTGTGTGTCTGCCTCAGTTTCTCTGCCTGTCTCTCTTCACCTCCATGATCCCTCCAGCCCTCGGAGGGCCGTGGCTGGGGCCTTAGTTTGGGATTTCCGCAGGCCCGGGCCCCCCAGCCCGCTCCCTTGGAGGCCCCTCACTTCCTACTCTTCGGCTGTCCTCCAACCCACTTGTGTGGGGCCTGGAGCACGGGGGTCCCCTGCCTTGTGGCCTTGGGCAAGTCAAGCTCCGCCTAAAAATGGAGCAGTCTCCCTCCTGGGCAGGGCTCTGGTGAAAACCAGGGGTCACGTTCCTGGCATTAGTCTCCCCGGCCTCACTTTTCTCACCTGTGCACTGGGGATAACAGCACCTGCTTTGTGGAGCCGTCGTGAACTGGGACCCAGCTCGTGCTCACTGGAGCCTAGGACGGCGCCCGGCGCAGGGGCGGCACAGGCGCTCCTCACGCTGCCCGCGCTGTTACGATGGCTTTCCCTCCCGCCGGGCGGGGTGGCAGGCTCCCACCACGGGCCCCTGGCTGGGAAGACGGGCCTACGCGTGTCCACTCCAAGAACTTGAGGAGCTCCCGCCAGCCGAGGCTGGGATCTCGCTGACAATACCACTGGGGGCGGGAGGCCTGGGCCCTTGCGCCAGCTCTGATGGGTGATTGGGGAAAAGTCCCTGACTCTCTTTGTGCCTCAGTTTCCCCATCTGGAAAATGATTTCACCCCAAAGCTCCTTCCAACTCTGACGTGATTCAAATCCGCGAAATTTTGACGAAAGCTCAGCCCACCTACGTAAGTGTGAGTCGTTGGATGGGCCACCACCCCGGCAGCTGAGCTCCTCATGGTGGGACAGTGGGCCCTGATGCCAGCACCCCCGCAAGTGGCCTTCCTGCTGGCCTTGAGGGGGAACCAGCTGGAGGGACTCATCACGCTCCTGACCTTGATGGGATCAACCTCTCCTTGGGCCCCCTCCTGGCCCCGAAATCGAACTCTCCCATGGGCGTCCTCCGGGCTCTGTGCCAACACCTCTCCTTAGAGGAGGTCGTCTGGGCTCCCCACCCCGAGGCTGCTGTGCCCTTGCCCTGCCCCTCCCTCCCTCCTCTCTCTGCTGCTCCTCCTGGTTGCCTCTTCCTCGGTTCCTCTGTCTCTCTCCTCTCTCTTTGTCCTGTCTGTCTCTGGCTCCCTCTCTTTGCCACCTCCCCAGCACTCACGAGCCGTCCACCGCTCAGCACACAACCCGCGGCCTGGCCTCTCTCCTCTGGCTGTCAGTGTCTACCCTGGAGTCATGGGTGTGAGTCCCTCCAGAAGAGGACCAGGACACCCTCGCCTGCTCCTCCTGAACCTTGGGGCCAGCTCCTCTGTGGAGCCCTGCCCCCTCCATTATCCCATCAAATCCCACAGCTGGGCTCAGACAGGGCAGGCAACATGCCCAGGGTCACACAGCCCAAGAGTGGCAGTGCCAAGATGGGACCCAGGCTGTCTGACCAGTTCCCAAGCTCTCGAATCGACCTGCCACATGTCCATCTGGGGTGGCGTTCTTGAATCCCGTCTCGAAGGGTCTTTCTGAAGGCTGAGGGGGACATGGGAGCAGGAAAAGATAGGCTGCAATAGATAAACCAATGGGGCAGCGGGGAAGGGACCAATAGGTTCCTTGGTACTTGGCAACACCCCAGATAAGATTTCCCACAGGGCCTGCATGGTCTGAGCCCGGAGCCGTCTCTGAGGGTGACCTGAATTGGCTCTTCCTGACCAGTTCATGTTTGTGTCAAGCTGGTGCCTCATGGCCGAGTGACGACGTGAGGGTGGGCAGGCTCCCCTGGCAGCGGCCGCCCCTGGCAGGATGGACAGCAGCCCGTGCCAGGCACCAAGGTTGACGGTCTGGTGGGTGGGCAGCCGGGGCCGCTGTGGAAACTCCCAGAGATGCAGCTGCCTCTCCCTGGAGTGGGAGGGAGGAGGAGACAGGAGGGGCGGGGTTTTCCTCCAGCCCCCGTCCTTGGGGTGACGTGCCATGCCTGTGTATCTGGGGCATGAGCTGACCACCCGATTGTGTCCGCGGCTGCATTCCAGGGCCCGCCCAGCATGGGACCATGCCAGCAGCCAGCAGCTCTGGGCTCCGGGACATTCACTGGTGGCCCTCGTAGACTGGCCTCTGCCTGGGGGGCTTGGGCTGTGCTCCACCCACATCAGGGAGGGAGGCCACGACCACCTCCCTGTAGCCAGGTGAGGGTCTAGGCAGCTCACAAGGCCCATTCCCCAGGGGAGGAAACAGAGGTGCAGAGACAGCACGGCAGCCCAGGGCTGCACAGCCAGTCCCCATCTGTGATCAGAGTGCCATCTGTCACAGCCTGTGGCTGTGTCCTCTGCCCCAGCCTGACTCCTGATTCTTAGTCCCTGTTGGATCTTTGGTGCCCCATTTAGCACTTGGCCCATAGCAGATGTCTAGCATATGTTTGTTGAATGAATGAAAGAATGTATGAATGAATGAAAGAATGAATGAATCTGGACAAAACTGGAACTAGAAGCACCTTGGGATCATTAAGTCTCCAATGCTCCTAAACAACACTCCAGCCTTCCTCTGAGCAGGTACAGTGGTTGTCACCAAATGACAGATGAGGACATGGAGGTTTAGAGCTAAGACTGGCTCAGGCCTCTCTTATCTAGCGACCTGGGCAGGAGGCGTCTTATGGAGTCACACAATCCACCCTGTTACTTGTGTGTTGCGTCCCCAAGCAACCCCTGGATGGAGAGAGGCCCACAGATGGATTTGGGGCTGGGTGATTTCTGACCCCTGGACTGCCTTGCCAGTCGATGCCATGTCCCACCTCCTGAGAGTGAAGATGGCTCCAGGGCCAGCCCGGCTGCATGGTCTCTCCCTCTTTGTGCTCACAGAACTTAACATAACGGAGCATATGAGCCACATCATTTGAGGCTCACTAGGGGTTTTTCTGCCACTTAGAAGCTGACTGATCCCAAACAAGCTCTCTGAGCCCATTTTCCCATCTGTAATATGGGAACCAAAACCATGCCCGCCTGAACAGTGGGAATAGAACCCAGGAACCCAGGAACGACAGATTGAGTTAGAGCCTTTCTGGGGAGTACTATACAGCAGTGAAAAGGGAATGCTCTGGAGCTATACAGGCTAACTCGATGAACCTCAGAAACACACCACAGAGGGAGAAGAGGCAAGTTCCAGAAGAAAGCACTAGTGTGGCCCTGTTTATGTAAAGATGAAAGACACAACATTTACTATATGTTACTTGTAGATACATACATAAGTATTAATAGTAAAAGAATAAAAATATACCTTGAACAAGAAATACCAAGTTCGAGACATGGCTTCCTTTGTGAAGACTGAGAGGTGCTAGGAGGTATGTGTTCAGCTTATCCAAGGTGCAGGTTTTGTTAAAATGTGACCTTTCTCAGTGTCAATTGTCCCATCTGTGCATCGCCGAGGTGAGGGACAAAGGTGGACGGGACAAGCACGGTGGAAAGGAGAGGGAGAGCAGGGCGTTTTGAAGGTAGATTTTGACAGGACTTGCTTTGGGGTTGCATATGCCTGCAGCCGACTGGCCCGAGCTCGCTGAGCCTCGGTTTCCTCATCTGTGAAATGGGAGCCCTCCCGAGAGGAGTGCTGCAAGGACTCGGCGCAGTAAGGCCCAAGGAGCGCTTGGCGTGATGCCTGGCTCACAGAGGCGCTCAGCAACTGATGGACGGCCTTAGCCCCTGTGGGCTGGACAGGTGTGGGGGTCGAAGAAAGGAGAAGCTGCATGGGGCTCTGGGACTCAGGGCCCCAAATCCAGGGCTACCCCATCAGCCCATTCGTCGCCCAGGGCCTCCCCAGCTCCCCTGGGGAGGGGGTCAGTCCCGGAGACACTCTACTCCACAGCAATCCCTGAAAATCCCTCCCCGTGTGGCTCACGGGCCCCACTAATCGGTCATATGGCTGACCTTGAGCACAGAGGCTGAGCCGCAAAGCCCCGCCACCCTCTTCCCATGGTTGTGAAGCCTGGGGCCTGGGGGTCCTTTCTCCACTGGCCCAGCCGGCACCTGCAGCTCGGCACATCCAGAGAGCCAGGCCTGAGCTCCGGGCGCCCACTCACAAGGCCTGGGAATAGGCCTGGCTCTGTGACCTTGGCCCCTTCTTCCAAATCTAAGCCTGCGTTTCCTCATCTGTCAAATGGGGACATGACCATGCCCATGGCAACAACGCGATGCGTGTACATTGCTTGGCCGCAATGGAGCGATTTTTACTGTTTGTCTCAATCTCAAGGTTGTCTCCTGGCCCTGGCCCTGGCCCAGTACCATAGTTTTAAGCAGCATGAGGTCTGTTTCATCCACTGATGGCTGAAACAGTGGCCAGTAGGGCCCAGGCACATGGCACAGTGTGTGATCAATTGCTTTGTGTCAAGTAGGAGTTGTGGGGAGGGGCTGTCTCAGGAGGTCCCTGGCATGGACCTGAGCTCCATGTCTGCGATGACCCCTTGTGACACTGTCCCCCACCTGCCTAGTTCCCCTGGATAACAAAACAGATTCAAATGCCACCTCCTCCTGGGGCCTTCCCTGACTGCGTCCAGGCCAGGAAGCTTTCTCCCCCTCCTGGGTCCTGTTGCCCTTCATCCCAGTGTTCCAGCACATCAGCCATGTATTTGAGGCTCTGGGTGGAGTGTGACGTCCTTGCTAAGGAGGCTCTGTCGGGGTTCCGTGGCTTTCTTCATCCATGGGTGGCCCACAGGGCCTTGCTCACCTGATGAGCCCTCTGACTGGATCGAGTCCTTTCTCTGCTTGACCGAGGCTGGGTCTGCTTCCTTCCCCCCACACACCCAAAGCCGGCACAGTGCTGGCACACAGGAGGCTGCAGTGGGGCATGTGGAGCCCACGTAGAGGGCTGGTTCACCGCGATCTGACCACCTGCCTCCTCCTGCGTGGGTCCCAGTGATTCTCTCCTCCCGATGGTCACACCCTCATGCAGTGCCACCCTCCCCCAACAGAGCCAAACTGCGTAACGGATAGGATATTGCAGAAGTGACAGCGTGACTTCCGAGGTTAAGTCATATGGCGTTGCAGCTTCCGCCCTGCTCTGGGACTGCTTCCTCTGGGGGAAGCCAGTGCCACGGGGCGGCAGCCCACGCAAGGGAGCCGAGGCCTCTCGCCAACAGCCAGCCCCAGTTGCCAGCCCTGGGAGTGTGCCTCCTTGAAAGCTGAGTCCCCAGCCCCAGTCCAGCCTCCTGATGACGGCAGTCCCAGCCAACACCTGACAGTGACCTCACAAGAGACCACACTGCCCCCCCAAGCCAGAGGCATCCAGCCCAGCCACTCCCGAGTTCCTGCCCACAGAAAACAGGGGGTGTACCCAATGTTTACTGTCATTTGGGGTAATCCATTACACAGTGGTGGATAAGTGACACAGTCAACCTGGGCTCCCACCACATTCCTCGGGCCTGCGGGATGTCAGGCAGGAGCTGCCCCCAGGTTGCCCAGGATGCCTTGCCAGGTGCAGACGACTCGCAGGGGCCTGACCCCCACCCCGGGACCAAGGTGGGGAGGCGTGAGTCCGAGCCTTGGGGACAGGGAGAGAGTTCTCTGCCCCAGACCCCACTCTGGGAACCTTCTGTTCCCACGAGGCAGACCTGACTGTTCTCGACGTTGTTTGTCACTCAGGATGATGCGAATGGTGCTACCCGAAAGCAGAGGGGCCTCCTGGTGATTCGTGGTGTGAAGGGAAGGGGGTCGAGCGTGTCAGTAACCAGAAACTGCTGCAAGGCCTGCTGGGTAACCAGGTTAGACTCTTGTTCTGTTTTTTTATTGCAGAATCAAACCCCAAAAGTCACAGTTTCCCTGAATTCAGGCACACCCAGGTATGATGGGGACGTCTCTCTGCCCGGCCCCAGGCTGGGCACGGGGTGCTGGGCCCACGGAAGTGAACCAGCCCTCATCTCTGCCCTCTGGAAGCTCAGCTCAGGCCAACCAATACCGACTGAGCACCTACGACGTGTGGGTGCCAGGGCCAGCACGGCTCTACTCAGCATCCGGCTGCTTCTCCCACCTCCTCTGCTGCCACCCACCGCACTTGCCTAGATGTGGCAGTAGCCTCCTCATGGGCTCCCAGCTGCTGTCCTTGCCCCCGGCATCTCTGCTCCGAATGGAACTCAAAGCGGTCTGTACAGGAGGTGGATCAGATCACGTCGCTCCCCTGCTCAAAACCCTCCACTGGCCCTGACGTAGAGAGAAAATTTAACAGTGGAAAGATCCAGGGTCACCACCAGACCAGCCTGAGACCAGTAACGGTGGGGCCGCCTGACATTCGGGGCCCTCGGTGGGATGTGGTGTGAGAAGCACGGCCCCACCTCTGAAGTCTTGACTCATTATCTGTGGCATTTCCACGCATATGAAATCAGAGAACGTGCTAAGCTGGTTTCCACGAGGAAACCGGCAGACACCATGACTGTCCTGAACTTGTCATGAGAGTCAATGTCTTATTCACGATCGGCAGCACACGCCAAACGTCCTTCAACAAAACAACGAGGCAGCGTGGTATCCAGAGCAGGTCCCCACAGCAACACGGTGCCTCTCTCGGACGCCGTGCTGAGTAAAAGAGGGCTTACACGAGAGAGCACGCAGTGTGGCTTCATCTGGGGACGTTCTAAGACGGCCTAAAGTGGTCTGTAGTGAGAGACATCAGAACTGTGGTTGCGGGGGGTGCGGGGGGCCTAGAAAGAGGTCGAGGGGAGCTTCTGGGAGGATGGGAATTTCTGTATCTTGATCTGAGTGGTGATCACATGCGTACAAATTCACCAAGCGGCCATTTAAGACTTGTTCACTGTATGGGTGACATACTTCAATTTAATAAAGCAATCAAATGAATAAACTTTTTAAAAAGTCAATGTCAGGGGAAATTGATGAGAGACTGTTCTAGGTGGAAAGAATTGGACATATCAAATGCAGCCCGGAAACCCTCAGTAGGTCCCAGTTCCAGGGAAGGGAAGGGCAGAAGGAAGGAAGGGAGACACAGCTCTGAGAACCGCTGGGGCAATGTGACCATGGGGAGAGTATTCGGGAATTACTTTCGCTGCCTCTGGCGATCGATGGATGGACCGCAGGACCGTGCTGACGCCGGAGCAGCCTTGCTGTTAGGAGGCCCCGGGCCAGGCACTCCACAGCCGGGAGTCAGGACGTCTTCAGTTACCTTCAAACGGATCCAAGGAGAAGGCAAACGCGCCAAAATAGCAAGAGTGGTTGAACCTAAGAGGAACATACGTGAGTGTTTATTCTAAATTCTTTCCATTTTTGTAGATTTTAGGACACTTTTAGAACAAAAAGTTGGAGGTACGATGAATAAAATCTAAAGGCCTGTGAGATCCCACGTCATCCCCTGTCCCTCTCAACCCTTGGTCTCCCGACTCTAGCACCACCCCCCCACACACACACGTGAGCGCACACACAGCTCGCTCACTGGTCCCAGAATATGACAAGCTCCTTGCTGCCTGGAGCCGTTGCACTAGCTGCTCCCTCCACCTGGAACGCTCTTCCCCCAGTTTGCCACACGGCTGGCCCTTGTCACTCAGGTCTCAGCTCTGACCCCAGGGGGGCTCAGTAGTTTGGTGCTATCCCAGGGGACCCCAGCACTTTCTGACCTTCTGCCACACCATCCTCAGCATGTCAGTGACCTTCCCTTGTGGACGCTGATGGTGGCTGCTACTCTGGGTATCAACGCCCCGAGCCGGGAGAAATGGGGCACTGGCTGCCTCCCGTGAGCAGTGAGGGGTCTCTCTCTTTTTTCCAGGAGGAAAACTCTTCCCAAAATCCCCCCAGCAGACTTTCTGTTATGTGTCATCAGCCAGAACACAGTCACGTGGTCACCCCAGACCTGTCACTGGCCTTGGGGAAGGGGACGGCTGCAACTGCCTAGACCAAACAAGATTGTCCCCTGGGGTGACGGTGCTCCCTTGCCCTAACCAGACTTCTCTCGGCCGGGAGAAAGGAGAGGGGCTCCTGGGCAGACAAGGCCAGGGGCGGTCCTCACATGTTTCTGGAACTTGGAGATGATAAAGCTTGTTGTGCATCTGTGCCTTCTTTCAACCCTTCCAGCAGGCCTGGGGAGCAGCTAGTGGTCTCAAATCCCATTTTACGGATGGACACATGGAGGATCAGAGAGGCAGAATGACTCCCCTGGTCCCGCTGGTGCATCCCCATGTTCTCTGTAAGTGAAGAGCTGCAAAGTGTCAAGGCAGCCGGGGAGGGGAGCGGTTCCATCCACCCGGGGAACGCAGCAAGGTTTCACGGAGGGAGTGGCGCTCGACGGTGCCCGGAGAGCAGAGGGAATTTCAGTGGAGGCCGGACCAAGTGTCAGGCGGGGAACAGAGTGAGTGAGGGCGACGAGGCACAGAGACGGGCACGTTGAGCAATGAGCGTGGAGGAGGAGAGCTGGAAAGGGGGCTACGGCCAGATTCAAGGCCACCAGCAATACCAAAGGAGGGCCCGTTCTTTGTTCTGCAGGCCACTGAAGGTTCTGGGGGGCAGGAGCACTGCAGAGAGAGCTGAGAGAGGACTGGAGCGGTGCGATGGAGGCCAGGAGATGGGGGAGGAGGCTGGGGCAGAGCTGCGGACACGGAGAGGGGGCTGCTCAGGGGGCCGAGGGCTCCTGGGGCTGTTTCTATGGAGAGAAAGTCTACTTCCCGGGCAATTGGGCGTCACCCGTGAGACGACATCACGGCGGCGACACCACCTTTCAGGGCTCTTGGGAGGGCTGAAGTTCTTAGCACAGTGCCCGTTCCTAAGGGGCCCCCCCACCACGCCTTTCTAGGTGCCGTGGTTTCCTGCCACGTCCGAACATTCCCACCGAGGGGCCTCGTGCCCATAATGGCCCACGCCTTCCGCCGCGCTGCACCCCTCGGCCCCTGTGCCAGCTGCGCTGCGGAAGGCCTCGTCCAAAGCACGCAGCAAGGGAAGGGGCCTGGCTGCGCTGTCCTGGAAATCTGGGGCCTTGGCACCAGCTGCTGTGTGACCTTCTGGCCCGAAGCCCCACTGAGTCAGGCCAGCCCAGCCCAAGGGCTCCCAGGACCTGCGACGGCCTGCCAGCTCTCCTCCAGCCCACTCCCAGGCCACCCTTCAGGTCCCCATCCCTGCCTCTGCCCCGTCCCCGTCTCTGCCCCATCCCTGCCTCCCCTCCCAGACCCTGCCTCCCTCCCGACAGTGCCTCCCCTTCGGGCCCAGCAGGGGGATCTGAGCCTGATGGAGGCCAAGAAGACGGGTCCGATGCCAGGCGCCCCCTGCAAACCCCAGGCACAGCTGGGATGTGGGTGCAGTCGTGGTCTCCAGGGAACCTCACACCTGGAAGGAGCCCTGGGGTCCTCCTGCCAGGCCAGGGAGGTCCCTGGGGAGCTGAGGCTTCCCTCTAACTGCTGACTAACGTGACTGTGAGTCACTGAAGGGGGCACGGGGCGGTGGCTTCTTAGAGCAGAGCAAAGAGTCAGCGACAACCTCAGGTGTGCCAGCTTTCAAAAGCCTCCCGGCAGACAGCTTCTGGGATGCTCCGGGGGTGAGAGAGGGAGGACTCGCTGGGTTCTCAAGTTTGTTCAGACTTGGAGGCCCCTTGGGCCTGGATCCTCAGTCCCTGACATTGCCCTGGTAGGACACTGGCCTTCATCGAGTTTTATCTCCTGTCCTTCTTGGGCTGAGAGCTCCCATCACCATGTGACTCTAGGATACCAGGAGGTGGTGTAGATGCAAGGGGTACAGGTTGGGAGGTGGTACGGGCAGGGGATACAGGCTGGGGGCTGTGAGTAGAGGAGGTACAGGCTGGGGAGGTGGTGCGGGTACAGAAGGTATAGGCTGGGGAGGTGGTGTGGGTATAGGGGTACATGCTGGGGGTGGTAGTTAGGTGCAGTGGGTATGGGTTGGGAGGGTAGAGTGGTGCAGTGGGTACAGAAAGGGCTAGACCCTGCCCCAGCCTCAAGGAGCCAGGAGTAATTGCACAAACTGCACTATGGTAAGACAGGTTGACAAGCTCTGTTACCTAATTCAGGAGGAGCCCTTCACCTGAACTGGGGAACAGGAGGGCAGAGCTACAGAGGGACTGCTCAGGCAGAGAGCCACCAGTAGGAAGATCCAAAGGAAAGAGAATCCTTCTGCGTGGCTGGTGGAAAGAATTTAGGGGGGATGGCCGCAGTCCAGCTGGAGAGGAAGGATTGGGAGACCTTGAGGGCTGGGCTGAAGGATTTGATCATTTGGAGGGCAATAGGGAGCCACAGAAGATTCTTTAGCAAGAGAACGACATGGTGAGCTGGCTTTTTCCCCCGGGAGCTCGGGTGGAGGTGAAGCCAGTGGGGAGGGTTCCCACGGGGACCGGGCAGAAGGGCAGTTCCTAAGTCAGGGACGGGGTGAGGGTCTCCTGGGGTGCCGTGGGCCTGGAGGCAGGGCCTAACTTGGGGCTGACCAGGCGGGGCATTTGAGCCCCAGGGAGCAGCAGGAAGAGACCCAGAGAGGGAGCCTCTGGATAACTCAGACGGCAAGGCTCAGCTCTTTACTGCACAGAGGGGGGACCGAGGCCTGAGGAAGTCCCACACAAGTCTGTGGCCGTTCCCGGCCCACCCCAAGGGATGAGCTCCGCTTCTGGGCTCTGTCTGCTCAGACGGCACCCTGTCTGCTCTGGAATCGGGCCGCCAGGACTCCGAGCCTGCTTCTGCCCCCAGGTTCTCTCCCGTGGGAGTAGATGGCTTCATCTTCCTGTTGGCAAAGTGGGAATGACAATAGCACCTGCCTCAGGGGGCTACCGTGAGGACAAGATGCCTTCCCGGGCACAGGAGCTAGGAACAGCACACAGCGAGTGCTCGGGAGTGTTCCTGCCACCATACCCCGCTCCTGTGTCCTCCTCTCCCCCTGCCTTTCTGCCTCCACCCCACATACAACCTTCCCCCACTTCCTTTTTCCCTTCCATAAAAAGCAGTCATCCACCTGGTCAGGTGTGTTTTATGAAAACAAACAAGATCGGGCGCACAGCTCCCTGGGGATTTGTGAGGCCAGGCGAGCCTCTGACCCCCACCCCTCTGTCCAGTGAGCTCTCCAGCCAGGGGGTCTCACTGCTCCTTCTCACCACAGAGCTTGAGGTGTTGGTGGCTATCACAGCTCCGTAGTACAGGGGAAGATGCCAAAGCCCAGAGTGGCGAGGTTGCGTGCCCAAGGCCACACAGCTTGAGATCTGAGAACTGGAGCTGTCCTAGCGCAGAGCATGTGTGCTGGGCTCCAGGGCTGTGCTGTGGGGAAGGGCTAGACCTTGGGGACATTCTACCCAAGATGATTTTACACATTCATTTGTTCATCTATTCGTTCATCCATCATCTCTGTGTCTCCTTGTGGCTCTCACACGTCTTAACGATGTAGACTGTCCTGTTTTCTTCTGTACCCCACAGTCCCTAAGAGGACAAGGGGTGCTCCTAGAGGGAAGCTGAAGAAGTACATACATAGCAGAATGCTTGGGAATGTCACACAGCCACACTGCATGCCTGCACATGCTCATCCAGCTCACTCCCTGAGCGATTGTGTTCAGCTTCCACCCCTTGTGCTCCGTGGAACCCTGTCTGGCAGCACCATTGACAGCTGATCTCAAGATGGACACGTCGGTTGTCGCTCATCAATCCTCCTGCACAGAGCTTGCCTTTGACCCCATTAACCACCCCTCCCCCATGATTCCCATGCTCTTCCCTAGGTTCACATGACACCGCTTCTTCTGGTTGCCTTCAATCTCCTGCTGTTCCTCTTCAGGCCCCTTTGTGAGCTCCTCTTCAGAGCTGGGTTTTCTTCTCTCTCAGCTTGCTCTCTCTGTCTGGATGTGCTCATTAATTCCCTGGATCTAGAACACAGTCAAGGACTTTCACGAAGGGCAGCTAACCCCAAACCAGCAACAGGAGCCCCTATCTGACCAAGACATGGAGAAGGGAAGCAATCTTGGGTGAGATGAAGTTAGTGGTAAAAATCACCAAACCCATGAGAGACCTCACTTTCTTTCTTTTACCTTTGATCACAAAAAAAGTGTTTGGCCCCAGGAGAACCCCAGCAAGAGAGGACACAGCACATGTGTGCCTGGCACTGTCTGAAGCCTCATCAACCCCTCACCAGCCCAGAGAGGGTTGGAGTGGGAGGCATTAGTTAGCTTCAGCTGTGTAACAAACATCTCAAAACCAAGTAGCTTAGAACAATAATGATTTACCTGGCTCACAATTCTGTGGGTTGGTGATTTGGGCTTGGCTCAGCTGGGTGGTTCACCTGCGGGCCTGAGTCTGTGGTCAGCGGGCGGGCCTCTCTCCACGTGATCTCTCATCTGCCAGCAGGCCAGCCTGGGCTTTTTCATGTGGAGGGGAAAGGTTCCCAGACAGCGAGAACAGAAGCTGCAAGGCCTCTTGCACCCGAACTTGAGACTGGCACTATGTCATTCACACTGCATGCTATTAGTACAGGCAGACCGCAGGCCAGCCCCAATTCGGGGGCAGCAGGAAGAGATCCCACCTCTCGATGGGGAGGGCTATACACGATCATGGCCACTTCCCAATCTGCTGCATGGACAATCCTCATTTCACAAAGGAGACTGGTAGGGACGAAGAAGCCAGGGTAGTCCAGGGACCCTCCCACAGATCCATACCTGCAGGGCACTGAGCTCGGAGAGGCAGGCCTGATTGAAGAGGGGTCCCAGGCAGGCCGGTGACAAGCAGGGGCTTGACTCAAGAGGAGGATTAAGGACACTAAATCTGTCCCTCGGGTTTGAAGGATGGCCAAAGCAGCAGGGCTCCAAGGGCAGGCCTCCGGGGGAGGGGGCTGGGCAGCCTCCCCACCGGCTGCCTGCCTCCAGCATTGCCAGCCCCTCCTTCTGGGAATCTGAGCACCCAGCATGCATCAGGCCTTGCACCGGGCCCAGGGATCTGACAGCCACTGTCCTTGCCCAGACTAGCAGGGCACACAGGTGCCACAGACACAAGCCCTCAAGAGTGTTTTCCCCGTGATTGTCCTAAATGCCAGGGCTGAGAAAGATAGGGCTTCTGAGCCTGCCTGGGTAGAACTCCATCCTTCCTGCTTCCTAGGGGTCAGCCCTCCGACAAGCTACGGCTCTCCCGAGCCTCTGTAAACCAGGACTGGGGATGATGCTGTCCCCCAGAGAGGTGAGGAGGATTAGGGAAGACAAGCATGTCAAGGACTGCTCTCCTGGCTGGGCAGATGCAACACTGACCAGAAATGCTTGCCGTCAGCAACCGTACTCAAGGGTCCACCATCCTCTCTCCAAGCCCTGAGTCCAAATACGACCGGGGCTCAGAAAAGTGATGCGGTGCATATACCATGAATTACTCATCACCCCTGGGGTCGGGAGCAGCCCCCACATCCATCAAATTGACATTTCCACAGTGAAGCCTATGACTATTCCGAGTCCATGGACTAAATAAAGTTTCTAGATAGCTTCATAGAATTTCAAGTTTTTTAAAACCTTGCATCAGTTTTTTAAAATTTCGTTTTTCAAAAATTTCTTGGCTTCTTTTTATAACGATCCAAAATTATCTGGATCATTATAATTACTAGTCAGCGATTTTCAACCGTGCCTGCACGTTAGAATGAGCAGGGGAGAGGGGTGAAATGCAGATTCTCGGGCTCCACACTGGACCAGAGGACTCGGAAGCTCAGGAGGCGGCCCCGGGATGGGCCTTCTTGAAAAGCTCCCCAGGGGAGTCAGCCAGTCAGGAGTGAACGATATTCTGGAGACGATACACCGGGGTTGGGGCTTGGCTAGTTCAGGAGGATCCAGGAAGACTTCTCAAAGGGCAGGACCAGGACGGGCAGAGCCGGCAGGTGAGGGAAGGGGAAGAAGAACGTGCTGGCAGAGGGAACAGCCTGCACGCACTCCCGCGGCTGGAGGACACCCAGCAGGCAGTCACGCGAACTGAAAGGTCCCAGGGCAGCCGGACGCATGCTTGAGGGCAGCGAGGATGAGTGCCTCCTCCGGCTTCCTCCTCCAAGGGCTCAGGGATCTTTGAGAACCGGGACCTTCCCGAGGTCAGAATCTGTGCAAGTAGACACTTTCTTCCCAGAGAAAAGTGAGCAGCAGCCAGTCCTTCCAGCCCAGCCAGGGGAGGGGAATCAAGTAAAATCAGAGCGTGTCAGGCTGGGAGTTGTGGCACGGATCCATTAACCCAATGGTTTTAAAGTGTTTTTATTTTTTAAGTTGTTTTGGAGCCTTTTTGTGAAACAAAATATTTCCCCACTGATCCTATAATGGTTGGAGCAAAGCGGTGGTGACGTTGGGGCGCCTGGAGTCCTGCCCGCTGTAACCTCCCCCCAGGTTTGCCCAGGTCCCGTTGGGACTCTGTGAAACCCAGTTTGAAAACCTCAGGGAACCAAGGCTCAGAGAGGGAGGGTGGGATTGCCCAAGGCGCCCCGGCCATGAGGGCAGGGCTGAGGCAGGACCCCGGCCCCTGACTCGCGTTCCCGAGCTCTTTTGGCCTGGGCAGAGTTCCCCAAACCTTTGTCTGTTAGGTCACCCTCTGCGCATTTTCCTTTTGCCATAACTCACCTGTTACGGGATGAACTGTGTCCCCACCCCCTTAAACGACATGTCGAAATCCTAACCCCCAGGACCCTTGAACGTGACCTTCTTTGGAAACAGGGTCTTTGCAGATGTATTGAAATTCAGATGAGGTCATTAGGGTGGTCCTAACCCGATATGCCTGGTGTCCTTATGAGAAAGAGAAATCTGGACAGAGGAGAGCAGCCACGAGGAGGCAGAGACACACAGGAGAACGCCACGCGACAGCAGAAGCAGAGCCTGGCGTCATGCAGCGAAACCAGAGAGCACCGAGGATTGATGGAAAGCACCAGAACCTAGGAAGAGGCAAGGGAGGACTCCCCCAGAGCCTCGGAGGGTGCTCGGCCCTGCCGCGACACCTTGCTTTCGGACTGCTGGCCGCTGGCACCGGAAGAGAACCTGTGTCTGTGTCGTCAGCCCCCAGCTTGTGGTGCCTGGTTACGGCTGCCCTAGGAGACTACAGGCCTTCTAAATAGTTATTCATTTAATTGTTCTCCTTCAAACAGACTAATTTTTAAACAACTTGCACACATTTTTGTTAAAAAGTGAATCTCTCGTCGCTGCTATAATTGGAAGCCCTGGCTCCTTTCCGTAAATAGAAGCGCCTTAAAAATAAAGACAACAAGAGCAGCCAATCTAGCTGGATGCAGCTGCCTGACAGCTCCGATCTGGGGACGCCCTGCTGAAAAAGGAGACGAGCAAGTGACAAAGGGCGTGGGGACACACAGGCACCCAGTGGACACTTCTGGATTTATCAGAGGGACAAAGGAGAACTGAAAAGAGGAAACTTGCTTATTACCTGAAAATGTCTCCTTCTGAGGCGTCGCCAGTGATTAGGGCTTTGGGAATGGCCTTCCCCCCACACCCATGCTCCCTTGATGTTTGAGGAAATTGAGGCCCAGAAAGGTTCAGTGAGTTGCCCAAGGTCACACAGCAAGCGTCTGCAGCCAAGTTGGGATTCGAGCGGAACGTCTACGTGCTTTCCAGGAAACTGCACTCGAGACCTCTGGGTCCTGTCAGCAGCCCCGCCCGCCTGGGGGCCACAGGCTGAGCATATGGACGCATAGCAGGGCCAGAAAACCCTAGCCAAGCAGCAGACTCAGCCTGAGTGTCCTAACCCCATAGCAGTCAGGCCAAGTGAAAGCCACCCAGATTGTCACTGTGCCTCAAGGCGCCTGGGCCTGGGCAGAAACTGGCCCACAGCGCGGCTTACTGTCTAAGTGACAGTCACAGGACTTTCTTCTTCTTGCCCAATGGGGCCATCCATATGGAAAATCAGGCTCCACGCAGGCAGCTGTCCCACATCCTGTCACATATGGTCACATGCTAAATGAGAGAGGTCATGGGATGCATCTCCTCACCCTCACACTGAGGCCATCTTCTTCCCTCTCCCTCT